ATGCATAAAAACATATATATTAATAAAAATGTAAACAAATATACATCATTTACTCATTCTGTTCTTTTATATTAATATTTCTAAAAAGGATCTTAGAAAAAGACTCCTCAGTGTTAAAGAATGGTGCCAATATAATATTGGAGAGCATGCTATTGAAAATTGGTAATATCAATATTAGTAGTAATAATCATAATAATTTTGAATGATAAAAATGAATCCGTATACAATAATAGATTGCAAACCAATGGCAACTCCCTGAATCAACTGTATTCATGATTTTTTTAAATTATTCTATGTACTAAATGTACTAGCTATAATATAACCTTACAGTAAGAATACAACTCTCATGGATATATGTAATATGTTTGACAATGCATGAGTATTGCTCTCTGTGAGCATGACCTGAGAACCCCAAACCAAGTGCGTACCTACAGGGGTCGCATTTGCGACCCGGTGTAGCAGTAAGATCTGTATCCCGTGAAGATCTGTATCCATTGTAGCAACTGCGCATGTGCCGATTTCAGGCAAAAGAAGCAGAGCGTTGAGGTACCTGAACTCAATTAACCCTTTACATGCCGACTGGTCAGCAGGACACAGGCAGGATCGACAGGGGACACTGTACCTGAACTCAGTTAACCCCTTTACACGCCAACTGGTCAGCGGGACACAGGCAGGATCAGCAGGGAACACGGTACCTGAACTCAATTAACCCATTACATGCCGACTGGTCAGCGGGACACAGGCAGGATCGGCAGGGGACACTGTACCTGAACTCAATTAACTCCTTACATGCCTACATGTTGAGTGGTTGGTGGGACACAGGCAGAATCACTTAACTCCTTACATGTCTAATGACAGGCAGGATCGGCAAGACACAGGCAGGATTATTTAATTCCTTACATGCCAAATTATCGGCAGGACACAGGGGGATCATTTAACTCCTTACATGCTGAATGTTTGGTGGGGACACAGGAATGACACAATCTCGGGCACCTTGACGCCCGAACAAGACACAGTCATGTGTCTTCTTTATTAACAGGTGCCAATCTCAGGGGATACAAAAATGAGCAATATGACAAAAAAGTCCCACCAAAAGGGTTCATGCCAACATCCCAATACACTTGAACCAAAACAGAACTGTAATGTTCCCCTGGGACTTTGTATGGCATGAATCATATAAGTTTTTAAAAGAAAATATTTATTACAAACAGTTTGCATCAATAAAACTGAATCAAGAGATTCAATATAGTGACTCATAGTACAATGCTACATGAATTAAATACAAAACACAGATAATATGCATGAAACCTGACAGTCTGTGATGCATCAACTGACAAATGGGTTATCAACCCAGAAGGGACTTCACAGTAATGTTGTTCAGACAAATCCAATGCGTTTTGGAACTTTTGTTTCCTTCTTCAGGGATTACGTATGTCAGGTCTACAACATGAACATCATTTTAAGTAAATATTAACAATAGAATACATCATTTGCATTAAATAATATGTAAAGCAGCTGATTACTCAAACACTTACAAATTGCACCAAATTGGATCGTAAATGACAAAGATTGATGGAAAGTTGCATGAAGGTGCTCTCCGAATGACACGTCAAAGAGAAAGCAGGTAGGGATGATGCAGCGAGCCATCCACCAACAAGGATCACACAATGACAGCCAATGGAGGAATCTGGTAAGTATGACAATAACCATAAGGGGCGTAAAAGGATAAAGCATAGTATAAAAAGCACCCTACAACCATGCCAAAGTGAAGATACCAAAAGGTATAAATAATATAAATCAATATGCTCTTCTTTTGGTAGAAAAGAGGAGATCGTGATGTGTAGATAGACAAGCTCTCTTGCATGCCGTTTTAAGACAAGAGTTTGGTATACCCATGTTCCAATAGGCGTTTTCTCAAAACATCTGCTTCCTTGCTGAATAGTGAATCATTAGATCAATTACGTCTATACAGAATGGAAGCCACTAATGGTTTAGGATGAAAACTAGTTGCATGCAATATGGTATTCCCTGATGTAGGTTTATGATATAATACACTCATCAAATGGCCATCAGCAGATCTATGAATGCGGACATCCAGAAAATTAATTGTAAAATTGTCAAAGGCCATGGTGAATTTGAGATTAAAGTATGACAATACTAAGGGGCGTAAAAGATAAACTATGGTAGAAAAGGCACCCTACAACCACCCCACAGTAAATATACCAAAAGGTATAAATAATATAAATCAATATGCACACAAATAAAATCCACCCCTCCATAGGGGGAACATTTAGTAGCATTAAAACATAAAGTGCTCACCAATGTAGCCTCTACATATCGCATCTATAGCCACTTCAGAATGGTCAAAAAACGAGGTGTTATAAATAGGATAACACTGCTGTAAAAAAGTTTAAATAGTGATAATTTTGGGGTGATCATGCACCAATGAAAACTATGGTTCACTGGTGCCAAAAATATATTGCATGGTTGAATAAGTAAATGCTGCCCATAGCAAAGCTGTATAAGCAACTTAATTCCAACCACATGCACACGCGGTGCCACCCCATGCAGACGTGATGCCGGCGTGGTGACACCACGCACATGCGTGGCGCACCGCCACGAGTGCACAATGCCACTGGCGAGCCCAGTTGGCCCCAGCAGCTTAATTCCAGCCACGTGCACACGCGGTGCCACCCCATGCAGACATGATGCCGGCGGGCCTAATGTGATCCCATAGGTGAGCTCAGAAGTCCAAAAGGTAGAATGGGCACACTGACCCCTGCTGGGCAGAAGGTACACCACAGGCAGCAAAGTCCAGTTTCCTCATGGAGAGGGGGCCAATTCCGGAAAACAAAAGGCCGCTGGGTGGAGTGGATACAGAATATTACAGCCTGCATTACTATCAGAGGAGAAAGAGGGGACACAGACTATCATGGCCTGGATTATTATCAGAGGGCATATAGAAGGGATACAGAATATCACGGCCTGCATTATTATCAGAGAAGAAAGAGGGATACAGAATATCATCATTACGCCTATAGCCTGTATTATACAAATATCAGAAGAAAAGATAAAGGATACAGACTTTTTACGACCTGCATTATTTTCAGAGGACAAATAGAGGGGATATAGAATATCACTGCTTGCATTATCAGAGGAGAAATAGAGGTGATACAGAATAGCACAGCCTGGATTATTATCTGATGAGGGGATACAGAATACCACAGTCTACATTATTACCAGAAGAGAAATAGAGGGGATACAGAATATCACAGCCTGCATTATCAGAAGGGATACAGAATATCATGGCCTGGATTGGTATCAGATGGGATATAGAGGGGATACAAAATATCCCAACCAGCGTTATTATCAGATGAGAAATAGAGAGGATACAGAATATTATGGCCTGCATCATTACCAGAGGAGATATAGAGGGGATACTGAAAATCACATCCTGCATTGTTATCGAAGGAGAAAAAGAGGGGATAAAGAATATCATGGCCTGTATTATTATCAGATGGGATTTAGAGGGAATAAAAAATATGAAGGCCTGCATTATTATCAGAGGGGATACAGAATATCACGGCCTGGATTATTATGAAAGGGTACATAGACAGGATACAGAATATCACGGCCTGGATAATTATCAGTGGGGACATAGAGTGGATACAGAATATCACAGCCTGCATTATTACCAGAGAAGAAATAGAGGCGATACAGAATATCATGGCCTATATTATTATTAGAGAAGAAAGAGGGAATACAGAATTTCTATGGCCTGCATTATTTTCAGAGGACAAATAGAGGGGATACAGAATATCACAGCTTGTCTTATTACCAGAGGAGAAATAGAGGGGATACAGAATATCACAGCCTGGATTATTATCTGAGGAGAAATAGAGGGGACACAGGATATCATGGCTTGGATTATTATCGGAGGAGAAATAGAGGGGATACAGAATATCATGGCTTGGATTATTATCAGGAGAAATAGAGGCGATACAGAATATCACAGTCTGAATTAACTGAGGAGAAATAGAGAGGATACAGAATATCACAGCCTGCATTATTATCAGAGGAGAAATGGAGGGTATACAGAATATCATGGCCTGCATTATTATCAGAGGGGATACAGAATATCACGGCCTGGATTATTATCAGATGGGATATAGAGGGGATAAAAAATATCACGCCTGCATTATCATCAGAGGAGAAATAGAGGGGATACAGAATATTACAGGCTGCATTTATATATAAGAGGAGAAAAAGAGGGGTACAGAATATCACAGCCTGGATTATTATCAAAGGGGATATAGAATATCACAAACTGCATTATTTTTAGAGGGAAAATAGAGGGGTTACAGAATATCATGGCCTGCATTATTATCAGAGAGGATACAGAATATCATGGCCTGGGTTATCAGAGGAGATATAGACAGGATACAGAATATCACGGCCTGCATTATTGTCAGAGGGGATATAGATGGGGGTGGAGAATATCACAGCCTGCATTACTGTAGGGGATATAGAGGGGATACATAAATTTACAGTCGTCATTAATAGAGGAGAGCCAGAGCGAAATGTATGTGCATACAGCTAAGCCCACAACTGCCAGGGAGGTAGCTGAGCGGGCTGCATGTAATTAACGCCTCAATTACCAGCCAAATTTAATGTTTAAGTGGCCCAGCAAGTGCGTGTTGACTTGCACACTATCCCCCAACTTTATGACTGTGGATAATTTCAACTCACTGGTTGATATCTGTAAATCAGTAATTAGAATTTGCGGTGTGCTGTTAGTCTGCGCTACGTGGGGTGGAGGGGGGTTTTCTGGGGTATCAGTGGGGCAGGGCTCAGTCTGTGATATTAGATGGGGTGGGGGGTCTGCCTGTCTGAGGTTGGTGGCGATGCCTGGTGTTATACTGGGATATCAGTGGGCCAGGTGTTATTCTGGGATGTCAGTAGGAGGTGTTGGCAGTGGTGTATTTAGGTATTGTGCTGCCCTAGGCAACACAAAAATTGGCACCCCCCCCACAGAGAGAGCCTGACATTGACCAACAACACCCTTGACTCCCACCCGAGAGAGCATTCCACTACCACTGCCCCCCATACACCAGCCACCATCCCCCATGGCGAGAGAGAGAAAAACATTCACCTTCACAGCTCCGGACATCCCCGAACGAGAGTTGGGCTGTGCATACACCGTCATGAAACCCGCAACTTATTTTGGAACCCACCAGGTTCCCATGCTGCGTGTGTCCCTTCTTCCGAGGGGCAGTGTTGCCCCACACTGAAAAATGCTGCCTTAGGCAGATGCCTTGTTTGCCTTGTGGTAAATACACCCCTGGGTGTTGGGTGTCAGTCATTCGGGCAGGGGGCAGACTGAGGTGAGGGAAGTAAGGGAGGGTGGGGGTCTGACAGCCTGTTGTAGGTAGATATTGAGGTCTATCAGGTATCGGTGAGGCAGGGGTTAGTCTGGGGTGTAAGTAGGTGGTGGGCAGCGTCAGTCTGGGTTGTCAGTGGTTTGCTGTAGTTGAATGTCAATATATTGTGTCACTTGTTTAGGCGAAGGCTGTGGTTGGTTAGGGAGGCTGTCACTTTTCTTTTTTATTGTTTGTTGGTTGGTGGTGGTGTAAGTGGTTGGGGTTTGGGGGTTTTCAGTGGTTATTTGTTAACGAGGGTGTGTTAATCTGGGATATTAGTGTTTTTGTTGGATGTGTGGTTGTTAGTGTGTATTCTCATTGTTTAGTGGAGTTGGGTGTGAGAGTCCACTAAGAGTATTTTGGGGTATTGCTCAATGCCGATTCACTCACCTTGTATAAGTATGCAGCTAAGGAATTATCACAGGACTTGTCATGTGTTTGTGGGGCAGAACACTTTTATTAAAAAGGATCGTCAAGATAGGCCAGACTGGCAATCACAGAAAAATTAACCTGCTCTTGCGTTCCAACTTTACAATGTCATGATCGTGCACCTATGTGCACACTCGTTACCTATTCACTCATAAATGTTTTTTGGGAAAAATTTTATGCCACTGATAGGCAGATGTCCAAACACTTAAGATGGGTTTTCTAGCCAGTGGAGGAACTGCCATGGTTACAAAGGTCACACTTGTGCCCAGGCCATGGCGTTCTGCCACCATGGGCTATAGACGGGGGAGAAATAAGTCCCTCTTCATGTATTACATAGGGCGGCTGTGTCTAGCAACCAGTGACGTATATGAAAAAGGCCCCAGCATTTAGAGTATAGGAGGATGTAAGTTCCTCCTCCACCTCATAGTGCTCAGCTTCAACCACCTCCTCCAACTTCTGCTGCGGCCCCAAGGGAACTGAACTGACTGAGAGTCTTAGGTGAGGCCAGTGAAGGTCCTGTCGGGCTGTCTGACTGAGCAAGCATGGCAGAAATGGAAGGACAGAGGATTGCAGCTAGGTCTGGAGGGCAGATAACAGAGGAGGGAGGGATGGAGAGGGAAGAGGAGGAGGTGGAGGGGCACCCGAAGAAGAGGAGGCAGTTGGAGGGAGCAGGGGCCTGAGAGGAAGAGAACACAACTGGTCTCTGAGGAGGAGGGGGAGCCTCCTCTTCGCTCCCTCCTTTTCTCCAACTTACCTCTCTCCCCCCCCCCCCCCTTTGTTCCCTATCTCTCTCCATTCTTCCTCACTCCCCCCCCTTTATGCTCTCCCTCCCTCTCCCCCCCTCCCCCCCTCTCCTCTATATCACCCCCCCCTCTCTCTCTTACCCCCTTCCTCTTCTACCCACTCTCTCTCACCCCCTTTTTTTCATCCACTCTTTCTCTCACCCACTCGTTGCCTGATTGTCTAGCATCTCCACACAATAAGTGCACAGACTGTCTAACACTGCTCTCTCATCTGCATTAATCACCATTCCTGCAGATCATCTTATCACTTTCCATTTAGGTCCTGGCACCCATGCTTTCCTGAACCTCACACACCTATTCCTGCTTTTAGGTGTGTTTGGACCAGAGCCGCAAGGGAAGCTCTCTCACCACTTTGCCTCCAACAAGGTATGTGACAAGTCCACCTGTAATGGATTTCAACTGTCCACTGGAATTGAATATTCCTTCATTGGACACATGTGCATCCTTTGTGGTGGAAGACAGTCTTTTGCAGAGCTGTGCTGATTGTAACATCCCTGTAAATGAGGCTGTAATAGTTCATTCTGGTCAATAGTGTCCCAAGGACAATATTTTCTCTATTTATAGATGTGCCATATGTCATTGCATTGTAATATGCATCTAGCATCAGCTCCACACAATATATAGTAATGTGCTTCCCTATCATTACGTGGGCTTCCCATCCAATGCCGTAACAACATTGAGTTAGGGTGAGCACTGGTCATCTATTCATATAAATCTATATTTTAAGAATGAATTGAAGGCTTTTTCTGATTGATTTATGTGTAGAAGTAGGAGGATGACATCACAATCCTCCCCTCTGAAAATCAGAAGAAAGTTTTTATTCAATTAGAAAATAAAATTCTGCCTACAAAAAGGTCAATAGTGCTAAATCAAATGCAATACTTTTTGTCAGTAGACATGAAGTCCATCTAATGCAGAAACAAGAAATAGATGCAAAAAAAGTATCATGTATTTCATTTAAAAATGCATCTTTTAACTGCAATTTATAGTTTGAATAATTTGATTACATTAGAACATAATGGAACTTTCTTTAAAGGATAAGTTAAAATTTTGACCAAAAAAAATAAATGTACATTTTTTTGCAGGTAAACAAAATGTGCATTTATGATCTTTGGTTGCAGGAGCCTGTAGAGCATTGCACCAGCGATCAGTAGATCACTGGTGCCATGCAGGTCTCCTTCAGACCTGTCAGTATATCTGCTTGCCCGTACGGGATGTACAGGCAAGCAGATATACTGACAAGAAGATTCAATGAAGGATGACAGTGCTCCCCATCGCCGTAATAGTTCATTGGGAACTACAAGCTGACAGCCACTGTGGCTGTCAGGACTTGTAGTTCATTTATTCACAGAACACTGTGAATATATGATGCGGCTGTGTGGGTGGACCCCGCACAGCCACGCTGTTTTTAAAAAGTGACAGCTAGTATGGGGAACGTCTTTCCATACTTCTCTCACAGGGAGGGGGGGCAGTGGCTGCAGCATTGGGAACATGTTCCATGTTCCAACCTAAAAACAGCTGGAACATATAACATGTTCCCAAAAGTTGAACTTTTCACAAGTGTTGATATGTCAAAAAATATATTATTTTTTTTGTGTATAAATTTTAGGGTCATTCTTATGTTTTAAGAAATGTACCAATTTGACTGTGTATGCACTTTTGTTGAAATAATCTTCTTCACATATTCTACAAAGGTCATACAAATCATCTGCACAAAAGAAATGTAACAGAGAAAAATAAATAGAAATAAAACAATTAACTTAGTTCATGTTTTGGTTCCCTTTTGATTTACTAAGCACACATTATAATGCAAATGTGTAAACTTTATTGTGTTGATTACTGTTATTCTTTAGCTATTTACCTCAATAATTCAAGTGTTGTGCAATGCATTATGCAGGCTTGGCATTTTAAGGTATAACTGAAAATTGCTTTTTAATTTTCTATCAAAATGCAAATGTATTGTTTTTAAATATAGACATAAACACTGTTGTGTTGACATGCTGTGCATTTATAGCCATAATTATCAATAAATCTGCATGACTAAAAAAAAAAAAAAAAAAATAGCATAAGACCTGGCCTACTATGATACTTTGTTTATAAGTAAAAAATCTGCATATGTTGCTAGAATATTTCTTTTTTAAATCCAAACAACTTTTATTGCCAAGATAGTAAAAATACACGGAACAGTACTTACAGAATCTACAATGACATTACTGCATCAACAGGATTATGCATAAATAGAACAATGTGGATACGCAGATCCCGAAATGGACAGAATAATAGAAATAGTAATCAATCGTTGCTAGAATATTACTTGGAACCCATTATATTATGACCCATTACCAGGGTTAGGGACTGATTTGAATGTACAATATATATGTGTAAAGCTCTGAGTAAATGGATGGCGCTATATAAGTACCTGAAATAAATAAATTTTATATATATATATAATATATATATATTTTATTTATTTTTTTTTTTAAGTAGAAGCCCTAGGGAATAAAATGTTGTTTGTTGCAATTTTTTATGTCATTTGGTCTTTAAACAGCTCCATTCTTCATCCCCATGTAACCTTTCCAAATGGTGACATAAATGTACATTTTTTGGTCTGTAACTAGTTAAGCAAACAGGGAGTCTGTACTGCCCAAGCTGGGCATCATTATAGACAGATGGCTGAGTTGCAGTTACGGAGATATATTGACTGGCTGAGAAGGAACATTATTTCCAGGAAGTTGAAACATTATTTTTCCTTGCTGTGCTGGTGTAAATAATTGTTGTGTAAAACATTTTTATGTGAAAATTTCCATGTAATTGTTATTAAAAAAAAACCATACAAATTAAAGCTACAAAATGCACAGTGCTTTTTGTTGAACTATTGAACAGAATCATAAAACTCTCCAAAAAAAAACATTAATGTACATTATATAGACTGTATGGATAGATATATTTTGTTTCTTCAAATTTCAGATATAAAGTCCAAATATCTCAACATTTCTTCAAAACACCTAAACATACACATTATAATCAAACTAACAAATTATTACATACCACTTGGCTGAAGAATTGTTTTTGCTGTCTCAAAGCAAATTTCATTACCTTTACTATGCAAATTGTCAAATGCTTTCTATCTTTTTTTCCTATTACCTTCTCTGCAAACGAAATAAAATAAAGATGTCCATCAAAACGTTAATACGTTTTTTAAATTCAATTTTAAAAACGTAATATAATTTTTCATAGTTTTGCTTCAACAGTATTATGTTTCACTCTAAACATCATTCATTTTTTTAAATTATTATAAAATATAGTACCTCGCAAACATAAAAAACCCCACAAGACACAATTGGGTTTATTTACAAAAGCTGGAGAGTGCAAAATCAGGCTCACATCTGCATAGAAACCAATCAGGTTTTATTGCCAAAGCTTTCTATGCAGAAGTGAGCCTGATTTTGCACTCTCCAGTTTTAGTAAATAAATCCCACTGTGTTTAGCTGATTAAGGTGGCACCTTGTTTCACATCATAGTTTTGAAACAATCATTTTATTTTTCTGAAACAACCTAAAAAAAATAAATAAAATACATTTTGTAATCACTTTTTCACAATAAAGACAAAGTTTACTCTTTTAAAACAAGTTATCACATTACTTGAATACAGTCTGATTTCACTTATGTTAAATCGTCAAATAACTTTCTCCTTCAATT